ACATATTCTGATACGTGTTCGACATGTTGTTAATATTTTTGAACATGCGGTCAATCCTTCGACACACGATTAATATTTTCCGGCACTTTTTTTTAAGATTCAAATTTTATTTTATTTTATCTTTTTAACTAAATATGAAAAATTAATTTATAAATTAAATATTTTATGTTATGAAATTTGACATAAAAAATTAACAAGGCATGAAAAATTATTTTTTCTTTATATTTATCTTATGAAATTTGAATATTTGATTAGTTATATGGCTTATTATGAATTGCTATATGTATTAAATGTAAATTATATTATATATATATATATATATATATTAATAATATTATTTAATATGAAACGTATTCTAACATGTTAAAATTTTATAATTAATGTGTCAGCATATCATGACTCGTATGGGTGTCGATCCAACATAGATTGTTATACGCCTTTAGTTACTTTACAATTTTCTTCTGTTAGCAGTCTAAGGTCGGTCCCAGTATTAGCAGTTGCGGCCTAGGATTTTATAAACTAATTTATATTTTATTTTAAACGAGTGTATTGTAACGAAATATTATATATTGATAGATTTGCTAGATGTGACTCTATAGGTATGTTTAGTACAAGGGTATCAAAAAGATTACTGATAAATTTTCTTTGGTAAACATCAATTACCATGTTTGGTAGAAGTGACAAAAATCAGTTTCCGGATATCCAAGGTTTACCGGTAATTTGATTTACAAAGAAAAGTCATTATTTAGATTACCAAAAATAATATGGTAATTCAGAATTTCAAGTAAAGGGAAAGTACAATAACAAATTTTAAGACAAAAATACCCCAACACACGTCAAAACCTAGACCCAATCTATCAATTACAAAAGTAAAAATAGTTTGGGGTTATTTTTGTAAAATAACCTCATATTTCAAGTCATATTTCGTTCTAAACCAAATATGGAATCAGTAATCTTTACCCAATATTTTTCGTAATATTTTGGCAAAGCAAACAACTTTTTCATAACATTCCGAGTAAACTCAATTTCTATTGTATTCCCAGTAATTGTGATTCTCGGATATCAAAAAATTTCTCTTGTACCAAACATACCCTATAATTTGTTTTATTTTTTTGCAAACATGTGTTTGTGATTGAAGTGGTCCCACGACACAAAACAAGAAGAATGTTGTGTTCTAATTGAATTGGTACAACTGCGATCCCATACTATTTTAGAGTGAATTAGGGACATATTGTTGGGATTCTCTCTAATACCGAGAGAGTATCAAAGTTGGTACTCACTTTTTTCCAAATTAAATAAAAAAAATATTATACCATTTCAATTCATGCCTTTTTATATATTTACCTTTTAAGTCCTATTAATTTACTAATTTGGGCAATAATAATGGTACCGAAGAAACTCTTCTATCAAGAATAACAATTACGCTATCAATCAAAACATTCATAATTGTGTTATAAAAGTGCAAAACCTTTGGAATTTGGAAAAAATGTTAAATGTAATGTATTTTTGAAGACGATTTCAATATAGAATTATACTTTTTTTTAAATTGAGAATATTTAATAATGTTTTTTCAATTTTGAGTAAATTTTTAAATGACAATCATTTAAAAAAAGAAATGTATATAAGAAAAAGAAAAGATAACTACCCATTGGGATCAAAGCACAACATGGGCTGAACAGATATCGTTAATGTATACTGGATTTAAAGCTCTTAAAGGTGGGATAACGCTTTGTAGCAATACAGGGGAGTGCACAACAAAACATTTATTGTAAATGAACAATTTTCAGTGCTGATGATAATGCGTAATTGTTCAAAAAAAGTAAAGAATAAAGATAATGTAAACAATAATGATGAGGGAAAGAATCCGTTTATAAATTTTTTTTTATAAATTTTTATAAATTATACTATATAGTTTCGAAAGTACATAATTTAACTTGGTATACTTTCGGAAGTACACATTGTAGTTTGTAAGATTTTGTAAATAAAAAGTTTGTAAATATAATCTTCCGTTAAGAATGTAGATCAATTCAAACAATATAGAACTAAAAGGACATCCTTCATCATTCGGAAGCAAAACAAAACAGAATTTGTAACTGTCTTTGGAACCTAAATTTTAACAGCATGTCACTTCAATCTTAGATTATTGCTTTGCAGAGCCTGAAATTTTCAGCTTATTTGACATCAGAGACCAAATGCTTGCCTAAACATAGATAACAAAACTTCCACTCTTTGATTCATCTCCCATATGATTTATTCCCCTACACCAAACGACGCCGTTTATAGCGCCCACACTTTTTATATGAACGGGAACGGGTGCCCATAATGACCATAGGAGAAGAGGGATTGGAGAGAGAGTGTTGAAGGTGTGAGAATGTAAAAGTGTGACTCTTTATGATTATGTTCCATGCTTTGCACACTAACATGCATTTTCCAATGCTTCTAAGTGGTAGGCGACGGAGGATATCCTCAACTATCACATCTGGGAGATACTCACTCATTGTAATTTGTGTTAATCTTTATGACTACGAGGAAGAGAGAGTTTAACTTTATGTCCCTTTTTTTTCTTGGTAGGAATATATATATATATATATATATATATATATATGTATGGGTCAGAATCATATGTGATAATATCTTAACTTTTTAATATATTTAAATTCGAATGTATTTGATAATATAAAATATTTGGTTATCGAATTGCAATTCAAATATATCTCAATGGCTGTTTTTTTAGTAGTTGATGATGAATCTTTTCGAATCATTAGATTTAAAAATATAACAAGAAAATAATTTTAAAATATTATATAAATCATTATCCTTTATCGGAATCTAAATATATAACAATAAATAAATGAGATAGAAAGAATAGGATTATTTTTAAAAGTTATTTTTAAAAGTAGATTTAATGTGTATCTAAATAAAAATATATAATAAATAAGGCATGAAGAATAAAATTAAATAAAATAAGTATATTGATATATAATAAATCTTTTTGACACTATAAATCTACGTTAACGGTAGAAAAGCGAACCCATGACAATCATTTTAAAAAAATGTATATAAGAAAAAGAAAAGATAACTACCCATTGGGATCAAAGCACAACACGGGCTGAACAGATATCGTTAATGTGTACTGGATTTAAAGCTCTTAAAGGTGGGATAACGCTTTGTAGCAATACAGGGGGAGTGCACAACAATATATTCATTGTAAATGAACAATTTTCAGTGCTGATGATAATCCGTAATTGTTCAAAAATAGTAAAGAATAAAGATAATGTAAACAATACTGATAAAGGGAAGGATTCGTTTCTAATTTTATTTTATAAATTTTTACAAATTACACTATGTATTTCCGGAAGTATATAATATAACCTAGTGTATTTCTGAAAATATATAGTATAATTTGTAAAAGTTTGTAGACAAAAAAGTTTGTAAATATAAATCTCCTACTGACAATGTAGATCAATTAAAACAATATAGAACTAAAAGGACATCCTTCATCATTCGGAAGAAAAACAGAACAGAATTTGTAACTGTCTTTGGAACCTAAATTTTAACAGCATGTCACTTCAATCTTAGATTATTGCTCTGCAGAGCCTGAAATTTTCAGCTTATTTGACATCAGAAACCAAATCCTTGCCTAAACATAGAAAACAAAACTTCCACTCTTTGATTCATCTCCCATATGATTCATTCCCCTACACTAAACTGCATCATTGTTTTTTTTTGTTTTACACAGCCCAAGCATGTCTACTTACATGTGTAGTTTGGATACCAATATCCTTCATCACTAAAGAAAGAAAGGTCCCTGGTTGCTGCTCTTTTACCACTAAAATGTCACTGCTTAATTGTGCGTAATCCCCATAGGTGTCTAATCCCTCTCCCTAAATGAACACTATAAATCTTTTTCTACGATTGCTTTGGAAATTGACAATTACACACAAATCAATAAATGAAAGAAAAAAAGGAGAGAATTTTGACACGGTGATTTACACTGGTTCACCTAATGTAGGTTACGTCCAACTTGTCTTTATTATATTCACCTCACCGCCGCTCGCTACAAGTCACTCGATTTACAAAGAGAATATAAATAGGATTAGAAAATCCTAACAGTAGCTATTCATAGGCGCTACCCCCGGACCTCCCCACCGGCGGAGCGGAACCCCCTTTGCCTTTTGCTGACCCGACAACAAGGCTCTCATTAACATGCAAAGTATGGCTCATACCCAATAGACTAGAGTTCTAAGAAACGTTTTTTAAAAACCTTGGAATTTTCTTTTACAGGTTGGAGACAATGGAGTTTCACTTTCAAGTGAGTTCTAAGATAAGAGGGTTTGGTAGTACAAATGAAAGAAAAATGATATAACTATGCTCTGTGTCAAGAAAAATGAGTTTCACTTCATCTTCCATATTATTAATTGCAGCATTAGTTGTTTTCTTTGTCAAGTAAAAGAAGGCTCTGTGTGTAATCATAAGCCCAAGCATATGCACTTGGTTTTAAACCAATATCCTTCACCACTATGCTCTTCTTAACATCAACAAAATGGAATGACATTGGTTGCTCCTTCACCCCAATGCTCTTCTTAAGATCAACAAAATGGAATGAAATTGGTTGTTGCACTGTTGACACAAACACAACACTACTTCTGTTTAGTCCCAATATATCTCTAATCCCACCCTCCAAATAAACACTATAAACCTTATTCCATGACTCTCTTTTCATCCATATGTTACATCTTCTAACATCGCAATGGATTTGAGGTGCGGACGTCACGGCCCTGAGATCCGATTCCCCTTCCGAATCAAAGACAGTGAGGCAGATGAATGTAGCCATAGTAGTGGGTTTGATCTAACTTGCTCAGATAAAAGGGAGACGCTGCTTGAGCTGCCTCCAATCAAACTCAAAGTCAGAAGCATAGATTATACACAACAGCTTTTATACGTATCTGACCCCGAAAATTGTCTTCCAAAACAGTTATTGAAGCTCTATCAATCATCAATTTCTCCTTTTCATCAATTCGAGACATTCGGAGGTATGACTGATAACATCACTTTCCTCAACTGTGATTCAGTTAATGCTGACTATCTACAAGTCACGTTTTCGTGTCCGATTTATGCTGCTGACTCCACCGACAAACTCCTTGGATCAGACCTATTTTCCTGCACCAAGATGTACGACGTGTCTTCAAACATAGACCCATACGAACTGCAAGCAAATAAGTTGGGATTGACATGGTCGAAACCAGATTGTAGCAAGTGTGAAACACAAGGCAAGATGTGTACACTCAAGAACAACGGCACTCGAGACGACATCGAATGTTTTGACCGTTATCACAAACCAATAAAGAAGATAGTTTTAGATGCCACAGGTTAGACAACACAAATTCACTGTTAGTCCTTTGTTTTTCCTATACAAAAATTTCAGATGGATTTTCCTGAAACTGATTAATGTTCTATATGCAGCTGTGTTCGTTGGCTCAATTCTGGTGATGCTGATTTTCATAGCGTGTTTGCGTGTCTATCGTTATTTTAAAGCGAAAGGCGAAGATCAGGCTCGAATTGAAAAGTTCTTAGAGGATTACAGGGCACTTAACCCTGCAAGATTCTCTTATGCTGATATAAAGAGGATTACAAATAATTTTAGGGACAAGTTAGGTGAAGGAGCTCATGGAGCAGTTTTCAAAGGTAAACTCTCAAATGAAATTCTGGTGGCTGTGAAGATGCTCAACAACACAGAGGGAAATGGGAAAGAGTTCATCAATGAAGTGGAAGCTATGGGCAAAATCCACCACATCAATGTGGTTCGCTTGCTTGGATTCTGTGCTGATGGATTCTATCGTGCTCTTGTTTACAATTTCTTTCCAAATGGGTCATTGCAGAACTTCATAATTCCACTTCATGACATTGACAAGGACCGTTTCCTTGGTTGGGAGAAGCTGCAACAAATTTCTCTTGGCATAGCTGAAGGGATTGAGTATCTTCATCAGGGTTGTGATCATCGAATTCTTCACTTTGACATTAATCCTCACAATGTTTTATTAGATGACAAGTTTGTTCCAAAAATTTCGGATTTTGGTTTGGCAAAGTTGTGTTCTAAGAATCAAAGCATAGTGTCAGTAACTGCTGCCAGGGGGACCTTAGGTTACATTGCACCTGAAGTTTTTTCGAGAAACTTTGGAAACGTGTCTTATAAATCTGATATATATAGTTATGGGATGTTATTGCTTGAAATGGTTGGAGGTAGAAAGAATATAGGCAAGTCATCTGATGAAACTTTACAAGTTCTGTATCCAGAATGGATTCATAATCTACTTGAAGGACGAGATATACATATAGAAATTGAGGGAACTGAAGATCTTAAAATTGTAAAGAAACTTGCAATTGTTGGACTTTGGTGCATTCAGTGGCACCCAGTGAACCGTCCATCCATGAAAGCTGTGCTGCAAATGTTGGAGGGTCAAGATGAAGGAAATTTAATGGTGCCTCCAAGTCCTTTTGATTCAACAACTTCCATTGGTACTACAATTCCGGCAAGATATTCAAGCTTGGAGTTGGAAGTTATACAAGAATGAGAGAAGGTAATCATTGTAAAAAGAATCTAAATAAAATATGTATTTCAGAGGATGTTTCTTATCGATTCAAATGAAAACTAATTCGAATTTTTTTTTCGTTTATTTAGATTTTTGTTTAATTATTTATATTTCTCGGTAAATCATCAACTCTGTTAAAAGTGAGTCTTGTATGGAAATGTAGTCATCGGTTATTACTAGTCGATCACATTCGTTATACTCTTTGGCTTTATTTTTCTATAAACTTTTTATTTTATTTTTTAAAAAAGTACAATACAATTTAATTAATTTTAAGTTGGTCTACACAGTATACAATGTCGCAAGAGTCTACATATGGACTTTTGGCCAAGAGAAAAATTCTCGCTAAAATCTGTGTTCATAAGTTCAATACTTTTACAATTTCTAATATGAATTGGTCAAGGTTGTCTGACATGTACCCTTTTATGTGCAAAATATCAGCGTGGCTTTTACTAGCGTTAGTGTCGGGAAACACAATGAACCGGCTTGCAGGTACATGGACTTTGTTGTTGATATGCAAAATGTCAGTGTCGATTTCCATAGCATTATTGTTGTTCTGCACAGGATCATTGATTTTTGGCACAGTCCTTCATCCATTCTGATTATAAGATAAAAAAAGTTTAAAGTTTAAATATTTTAAATTTACTTTAAATAATTTTATCAAATATTTATTAAAATAAATATATAAAAGTATGTGAATTTTTTTTCATGAATTTCATATTTTTTTTTTGTATATTTTGATAAACATTAAATAAATTTATCTGAAGTAATTTTAAAAATTTTAAACCCTATGATAAAATATCACTGTTACAAAATATATATATATATATATATATATATATATATATATATATATATATAAATTTAATTTAAAAAATTGAGTTTGATTCCTATAAAATATATTTTTGGAAACGGACGATAAATTTTAACTATAATTAAGTACTGATTCAAAATTAATTTAATAATAAACTCAAAAAACTAAAACTTATAAGAATATCGAGATCTATTCATCTCAAAGAAATAATTATAATTGGTAAAAAAATAAAAAATATCACTGTTACTAAATATTCACCTCTACATGATTAGAGTAGAGATTTGATCCCCCTTAACTCACGGAGATATTAATTCATGACTTAACTGCTTTTGGACGGATACAGAATCACCTACATAAGACGCACTGCAATAGTACGAAAGACCTTTCACCTTGACTATGTCCAATTACTCTTTGACTCCAATCGTTCTGTTTTTTCCATCCCACACATGTAAACTATCAGAAAATTTTCAACGCAGAGTATCGAATTCGTTTTTATCAAAAGAAAAAAGATTGTAGAACTTAAAAAAATTATAAAAAAAATATGAGTACAAAGAATTTTTTTTCCTTTTAATAAAAAAAATATCGAGTTCAATGTTCCCGATACATTAAAAAATTTCTCTAAATCCTGTGCTCGGAGGCAGCTCAAACGTCAATAATTAATTCTCTCATTGCGTTACATATCTCAAATTTGAAATTATTTCGGTACTCTCCTCCCACTCCCAAATCAGTTGAACAAACCAAATCCAATAATGGCTATGATGTGTATATGGAAGTTAGAGAAAAAAAATTAATCCAAGTGTTACCGAATGAACGAAAGGCCCACATACTTTCGCTGCACTGGAAGATCTCTCTAGAAGCGCCAGATCACATTTGCAAGGACTTCAATGGAGTAAAATGACATTTTAAAATTTGTTTAGCTAATTCTAGTAGTTAAATATAAAATAACTATTGTTTTGAGCTTATAGATTGAAATTGTTGGATAGCTTGTTTGGTGAAAACTTATTTACAATTGGAAAGCTATTTTGTTCTTTTTGTTTTTTGGTTTAGTTATGTAAGCACATCTATGATGCACGGAAACAGACACGGAATACGGGACACGACACGACACGTCGACACGTTAATTTTAAAAAATGTCATATTTGGACACGTTGGGACACGTTTTGATATTAAATAAAAAATTTAATATATATAATATAATTTATATTTAATACATATAAGAGTCCATAATAAGTCATATAACTAATCAAATATTTAAATTTTATAACATAAATATAAATATAAATAATTTTTTGTACTTTGTTAATTTTTCATGTCAAATTTCATAACAGAAAAAAATTAATTTATAAATTATTTATTTTATATTTAATTAACAAAATAAAATTAAAATTAAAAAAAAAATGTGTCCGAACGTGTCCTAACGTTGACTGCGTGTCCTAAAAATTTTGCATTTAAGGGATGTTTGGTATGAATATTTTGTTTGGAATGATCAGAGAAAGTGGGTGAGAAATATTTTTTAACCATGTTTAGTATAAAGAATCCTAAAAAAAGCCCGGACAAAAAATTATCCACCATTTCAATTTTGAACTAAACACAACTAAAAAATTATCCCACAAAACACATGGTATTCTTTTTTGGGTTTTATAATTCTCATTTAACATGAGAATTATAATTTTCTTACACACCCTTCGATTTCTGTGCTGACACGGATCCTACATATAATTTTTTCTTTCACATGGGTCCCACATGTTTTTTATCTCTACAACATGAGATTTCAATTCTCCTTCAACACGAGAATTGTAAAACCCTTCTTTTTTACCATGAAATCAGAATCTGATTTTAACGAAAAGAGACCAAAATGCACCTTCCTTTGAGGAAGAGTCTGTTTCATTATTGCTACAATATTCAAAAATTATAGGTAAATTGATAATTTCTGTTAATATTCTCATCAATATTTTACAATTAATGAAACATACCATCAGTAGAATTATTCAAAAAAATTCAGTAAAATTTTGGCCAATCAAATAATTTTTCATTACTTTTCTGGACTAAATAATTTCTCTCATATTCTCAGAAATATTGTTTTCTCTAGAAAAAAAATACCTCTTGTACTAAATGTTCCTTATAATACATTGATTGTGATTTAAGTTAAGTCTTATGGTCCATTAAGTTAGTCATATCACGCGTATGAAATTTTCAGCCGTTCATTATTACTAGTCGCATTCGTTATATAGTCTTTGTTTATTTTCCTATATTGCTTTTCAGATAGTTACAAAATAATTTAATTAGAAGTGGGTCCACATACTACACCCAAAACTCCACCAAACTTTTGGACTTTGACCAAGAAAAAACTCGCTAAAATTTGCGTTGACTGATATGAATTTCACAGGGATATTTAACATATTGATAGGATATTATAATAACTAATTAGTATTACTACTAATGTTACTATCAATCAATTTTACCGTTTGATCGATTATATTAATTTAACTGTTATATTTATTTCCACCTTTGTATGGTCATGATTCCCTACATTTAATGTGAAAGCATTAGATATGAAAAAATCATGACCATACAAAGGTAAAAATAAATATACAACATTAAATATAGGGAATCATAATCATACAAAGATGGAAATAAATATAACTGTTAGATCCATATAATCGATCTAACGGTATAATTGATTAGTAGTAACATTGATAGTAACATTGGTAGTAACACTAATTGATTGTTACAATATTCTTCTCTTAATAGATATATCCTTGTAGATTTATTTCTTATATTATAGGAAATAGTTTTATCTGTAATATATATATATATATATATATAGATATATATATATAAAAAACATTACGTGAAACATGTCGCAACCGGATTGTGACATGACGACAAAAGAAATTTGAAAGGATTAAAAGTAATAAAGTTGCTCGGGATGACAAAACTGAGCCAACCCGATAGAGCCAACCTATCGGGTTGGCTCATAAGTAATATAAAATGAGCCGGATTGGGTTAGCAAAATTAAGCTGACAATTCAAATTAGCCCGACCCGAGTCAACTCAAAAAAGTTGAGCCAACCCCCAGATCAAACAATTCAGCTCGCGAGTTATCTTTTTTTTATTTATTAAAAAAAATATAAAAGAATAATATGGGGTCAAATCGGTTCAAAGAAAGCATAATTTTTTTTATGTTAGTTTGAGTTTAGCAATTTTAATTATCTTATACCATATTCATTTTTTTTATCTTACTTCAAGTTTTCAATTATCATATTTTTTCAATTTTTTTAGGCTATTTTTTCCTCACTTTTTCGAGTCAACCCTAACCCGGCTCGGATCAGGTTATATTAGTTTTCTAACTCGTTTTTTTTTTAGTCAACTCTAACCCAGCTCATTTTTTGGGGTTACTAACGGGTTCGGCCGGATCGAGCCGCCCGTTTTTCCATCCTTACGAGTCGCCACCAAAATTTATTTGAAAAATTTCTTTTTCTTTGAAAAAATGGTATTTTAAAACAGAATGGGAGTCAATTACGAGTAGGGAAGGTATTAGCACTCTACACTGTCCGATTAAAAAATGGTTATTTTATATTGATTGTGCAAGTTACTGATAAAATTTTAAATATTTGTTTCACCCCAAAGAATAAAATAGCTTTGATTGTTGAAAAAGAAAACTATTTTTTGAAAGTTTATTTTTTGACTTAACTGGAAAGGTCTCACTCTGACGTATCCCTCGATAGGGGTGGTAAACGAACCAGAGGCCTTTCAGGGGTCTTTGGCTCGGCTCGTGAAGGCCTGAGCTTACATGTCTAAAATTGGTTGTTGGAACCAAGTTTGAACTTGTATAAAAGCTCGTTTAATAAAAAGGCCTCAAGCTCCAATTCAAAAGCTCGGCCTTAGAGCCTCTAGTATATATATATATATATATATATATATATATATATATATATATATATATATATATTTTATACTACTTGTAGTAGCCCTCTTTTTTTCCTCAATCCATTTTACCCCATTTTATTGGTTAAACAGAATTTTTGAATGATTTTGTTCTTAATTATGCTATTTGGATATACATTGAATTTATGAATATTTATGGAATTACTAGTATTGTTGATTGTATATTCTGTTTGGATAAATTTTTGTTGTCTTATTTTTTTTAGACACGTTAAGCCAGGTTTTTATTTTTGGTAAATAAGCCAAACCACAGGCCGATA